AATGTGAATTTTTATTTCACATAATAGTCTCAAAGTAAGTGGATGAGATTATGCTTCATATGGTCATTCAAGAACCCAGGTTCTTTCTCTTACGTGGTTTTGGATTTCTTAGGGTGTTGGCTATGCCTGACACTGAGAACACTGTCTTGTCCACTGTCTAGTCCAGGGAGAGGATGAAGAGAGAACAGATAGGCACATACCTGGTGTTTTGTGGCTATGACCTCAAAAGATACGCATCCTTTCTTTTCACATTCTACTGGCACAAACACAGTCACATGGCAACAACTAACTGCAAAGGAGCCTGGTAAATGTAGACTCTAGATTGGTGGACATGGGGCAGCATCACTAAAAGGAAAAGGGGAGTTAGCAGTACTAGTCCTACCTCCTACCCAAGTCGGGTGATTACAGAGTGAGATGCAGTCTTTACCAATCTTCAGCTGAATGTAGAAATGTTTTCACCTGAAAGCAAAATCATGTTCCAAATTTTTTTAGAAATGGCTCCCCAAATTTTTTGTAAAACTGCAATTGAAAGCACTGGGAACATTTTAGAGACAGACTAATACTTTATACCAATCCTAAACAATTACTAAGTGCTCAAGATATAATATCTCATTTCACCTTTGTCACCACGTTTTAAGGCAGTTATTATTATTATCCCCATATTCTGAATTAGGAAACTAGGATAAGTGAACTTTAGTGGCTTGTTTTAGGTCAAGCCCCTTGCTAGAAGACACTGCAACTGGGATTCAAACTTAAGCTTCCTTGATCCCAAAGCTTATTTTTAAAATCATTTCTCCATATGGCTTCATAGAGTTTTGCCATTTTTTCTAGTTAGGAGAATTTAAAACAATGAGAAAAGATGGAATCCCCAACAGGAGAATTAGAGTGAAAAAGACTCAGGAAGTACTTTGGGAAAAGTCTTTGTTTAGGGGATGAGGAAAAGGAGTGGCTGGTGACACAGGAGGGAGCATCTGAGTAAGGAGGGGTCATTTGTAGCGCTCACTGCCACGGAGAAACAGAACAGGGTGGGCCTGACGGGAGAGTACTGGGTTGGGTTATCATGAGAACAACTTCAAGAGGACCATGTTGGTGGCGTGCAACGGGAGAAGGTCAGATTGTTGTCACCTGCACAAGATGCACAGATGAGCGGAAGAGAAGCCAGTAGAAAAGGCAAACCCAGTCTATTTGCTTTGGTAACTAGATGGGACGGGAAGCAGAGGAACAAGGTGAGCCAACATTGGTGGGTGCTCTTGGAAGAAGTGACATTTGGAATTATTTATATATATTGCCACCTGAACAAGATACATTCAGACAATGTCAGCTACAAAATCTGGTGTTTTCTGGTAAAGAGATTCACAGCAGCACTATTTACAATAGCTAAGACATGGAAGCAAACTAAATGTCTATCAACAGATGACTGGATAAAGAAGATGCAGTATATACATATGATGGATTACTACTCAGCCATAGAAAAGAATGAAATAACGCCATTTGCAGCAACATGGATGGACCTAGAGATTATCATACTGAGTGAAGTCAGATAGAGAAATATAAATATCATATGGTATCACTTATATGTGAAATTTAAAAAAATGATACAAATGAACGTATTGACAAAACAGAAACAGACTTGCAGACACAGAAAACAAACTTATGGTTACCAAAAAGGAAAGGAGGGGAGGGATAAATTAGTAATTTGGGATTAACAGATACACACTACTATATCTAAAATAGGTAAACAACAAGGTCCTACTGCATAGCACGTGGAACTATATTTAATAGCTTGTAGTAAACTACCACAGAAAAGAATATGAAAAAGAATATATATATATATCAGATACATATATATATGTATATATATGTATCTGAATGATTTTGCTGTACACCTGAAACATTGTTAATCAACTATCTTCCAATAAAATATATTTAAAAAGTTTGTGGAGCAAAGGAAGGAAAGGAAAGAGAGGGAGGAAGGTAAAAGAGAAAAAGAGGAAGAAGGGAAATGGAAGAGGAAGAGGAGGGAGCGAAGTGGACAAGGAGGATTATATGATACAAGACGTGGACCTCTGAAGGTCGGGGTGAGCTCTTGGCAGATGGTAAAGTGAACAATTTGGATAATTTTTCATTTCCTCTTTGTGCATACCTTCCTCTCTTACTACTTCCAGGGTTTTCTTGTTCTTTTCTGGCCATCGATGACCTCGTTAGTGAGTTGACCTCAGGAGAGGCACTGCCTTTCCAGAGCATTCCCTCGTGGGCATTTTTCACCATTTATTTTAGAGTGAGCAGTCAAAATGGGAAGGATCTCACTAAATCACTCTTGACAAAGTGCTAATAACCATTAAGGCCAAATGCATGAGAAATAGCCGAAAACTGAGCTCTAAGTTGGAGTTTGAGAAGTGCTACTTACTAACTGTAATTTTGTGTAAGTTGCTAAGTGCCAGTTTCTAACTCCTAGGGCTGTATAAATAATTCAAGTGAAGGTGTTTTTGTATCTCTTCTTTTAAAAATGTGATTTTCCCCACTAATGTAATTTCTCTTCATGGTATTTCATTTAGGCTGAACTATTTCCTTTTCTTATATAAAGCAGGGATTATGACCTCACATCTCTACAGGGACCAGGAAGATGGGAGGGGGTGGCTGTGTAAAGGGGAAACCAGTGCCAGCTGCTACTGTCCCTTCACGGATGCGGAAATAGTTTCCCCCATCACTGGATTTTTCAAATCAGTTCAAAACTCATCATCTTTATGTGAAATCTTCTGATTTTTAGATGTTAGCAATATATATATATATATATTTTTTTTTTCAAATACTGCAGGCAAAACAATGCATGGAGGTTGGGGGAAGTAAATATGGCCCCCAGGCTGCCAGTTTGCCATCTTTGTGCTACAGCTCATGGTAGAGTGCATGCTTAGCACGCACAAGGTCATGGGTTTGTTCCCCAGGACCTCCATTAAATTAAAAAATAAATAAATGAATAAATAAGCCATATTTACCTCTCCCACAAAAAAATGAAAAAAGAAACCAAAGCAAAAATTTAATATTTTAGCCCTGTTAATCTGTGATAGATAAAAATTTACCAGAGATATTTTGCTACCAAAGTGGCACGTCCCTGTGGAGGGTCACAGTTCAGAAAGACTGCTTTTTAAAATATATATTTAATGGTTTTTACTAAGTAAATATTCATGTTTATTCATGACTTTCAACCTATACTTCTGTGCCTTTTAGCATGTTGCACAATGTGCCAACTTTTTCCTACACATCAAGAAGACAATTTAAATTAAAATTGTAAAAACTAGGTGGCCCTTTCACAGTGGAGTGACTAGTTAATTTACTTAGGCTAGCAGGTTGCATGAAGGAAGAAAATGATAATGCAACACGCTTTCACATAGCTGACCCTCTTCTGAGAGTTAACCTTTGTGCTCACAAATAGTTATCTGAAAAATTTCTAAGGTATGAATGGAAATAACAGCCAACTGTATTACCTACATCCCGAAGGTCAGAGGTTCAGATTACCAAAGTAATGAAACTTCAGTGAGCTGCTTCGGATCTATTAGGTTTGTCAGTTTTTATAAGCACGCTTACTTCAGGCATGCAATTATAACATAAAGGACCTGTATTGATGAAAATTCAGCCACCGGTTCTTAATAGATGTATTCAAATGTCAGATGAGGGGGAGGCATCCACCTTTATGAGTGGGCTTTTACGATGACTCGGGTGGTGAGGGCGAAATAGGAAGGAGATGAGAGAAAATATATTATACACAAAAATCCATCTCCAGATAAAAACTTCGTATTTTTTCCCAGAGGTATCTTCGAGGGTAATCATAAGCATCAATTAACTTACCTTCTTCCATTTAAATGGTTTAAGAGATTCCCAATAAAGGTGACACAGATCATTAGAGACCTGCAACCTTACAAAAACCCTAGAGTGAAAGTCTTTTGTAAAAAAATGCGTTATGTAGTGGCAACGTACATCAACATAATCAGTGCTAATTTTAACTTACAATTAATGTCACCCAATACTGGTTTTAATCCACAATTGATATACAGGGGCAAATTCACTCATGTGTTGTAAGTGAAGAGGAACCATTTCTTTTCTCAGGCTGCAACAAAACTCAAAGCCTGGGTCAAAATCACAGTGTTACTATTCCCCATCAGCAGTAATGCTACATCTTTTTAGATACTCAGAGATGAGTATCCTAGAGGATTCAGTTTACTTTCATAAAACAAATATTTTAATTGGGGGTTTCCAAGTCAGATATTTCTCAATAGTTGGTAATATTCTAGCCAGTTGTAAATTCAACTAAGAAGGATTACAATACGTAGCTCCCTGATGGATTCGGTCTTGGTTTTTTCTGATTGTGATAATGGATCACTATGAATGAACAGACCAGCTATTAAATGCTACTCTATTGACCGGCCAGATCTGAAAGTTCAGTTATTGTGGTTTCTAAAGTAGCAGGAACAGATCAGATCCATCAGTGACTCTCCTAAGCACCTGTAAGGTCGTGCTCTGAATGGGCACATGCTGAGCCCCTGCATTACTTAAGCAAGTCCAGTGATGACGTCCGGGCTTCCTATTCCTGTATCAAGCTGGATTCTGCCTATCCCCAGTACTGAGGGAGATTCACTTGGAAAATCCATCACATGACTGCAATCTCAGTAAACTAGTCAGGTTCTTGCTACTCAGTGATGAGTTACCAGATGGGGGTTGCACAGCTCTGTGCAGGACAGTGTACAGTATTACACTGTATCACATTAATACGTGGACATTTCTATCACAACTGGCCGGTGTGACAAAAACTACATTCTCCATCCAAAAGGAACGGAAGAAGGGAGAAAGGGCCAAGAAGCACGGACAAGTGGGAGAGAGAACCTCCCTTTGGAGAAGAACAGCACAGGGCACTTGGCTTTTTGTTGTCATTTTTTTAACGAGTCCATGTTAAATTCATTCTGGTACTAATATGGGAAGGGGGATAAAGATATAAGAAGCTTACTCACTTGGCTTAGCCCATCTCACGTCTATGGCCGTGTGGTTAAGAACAACCGCGGTGAGATTGGCTCCTCTCTCTGGACGACCAGCCAGCGTTGTCACAGTCGCTTCCTGACTTGGCGTAAAACCCACGCTGTTGTGTACAAACAGCTTATACTCATACGTTGTAAACCTAAAAGTTTTTTAAAAATTCATATATAAATTTCTCTTTTCAGAAAACAAAACACATTTTCTTTGTCCTAACAAAATACAGATTTTCCTTGTTTCCCCAACAGAAGGCACCACTTTCTTCACCACCTCCCCACCACCAACAAAATTCATTATCTTCTTTTTCCTCCCTGCACAGGAACATATCATTATTTTTGTAACTCTCGAGCCGTCACTAAAGTGTCAAGAAAATATTTTACTAGAAATGCTAAGCAAATACTGTGATTTAAAACAAATGTTCTTTACCGTTTTCTCATCCTTACTGTTTTCAGAAGTGGTGAGGATTACAGCTCAATTCAAGATGCAATTACACATCCGGCCACCTGCCAGATTTCTATCTGAATTTGATCCAGAGAGTTTTATGCTCTTCTGTTGGGAAACTCGTCCATTTTCAAATATCAGGCTCCCCCATCACCATTTTCTTCCTATGCCTGTGTTTCCTTCCATAATCTCATTGGCAGAGAGATAAACCCTTAAATTAAATCGTAAAACTGTGACCAAAGTATACAACATCCTCCTGCTGAGTTTTGCTGTATATGTGGTGAGCCGAATTTGGCCTCTGTGAGAATGTATTTACTTGAGTCAATATAGTGGAAACTGAACGCTGCTGTGTGGGAGGAGAAAATTAGACATGGTGGTGTCATACGATGCGGACTTTCCACGTCATGTATTAAAACAGTGATGGGCTAAAGCCACCAGTTCCTTGTCCTTTTTAGTTCTTTCAGGCAGAAAACTTATGAGGCTTTCTTTTCTGGGTCAAATTGCTTGGGTAGGAAAAGACTATTTATCGACACAGTGAGGCTTTGACTGGACAATGGCTTCGACCAAGAACTTGCTTTAACTCATTGTACAACACACGATCCTCCCCAGGGGGCATCCAGTCCTCAGGGCAAATGCTGGCCTCAGAGCATCACCTTGTTTGGGTTTAATAGATTATCAAGGCTGTCTCGTATCCAATGCAGGACCCATGGAATGTGTCTCCGTAAGTCACAACTTACTAGTCATGACGCGAAGGGAGAGTGCTGACTGCAGGACTGTGCTAAATCACGGAGCCAAAATTACGGCAGGATGCTCACGGCGTTTTGCCGTCAGCCGTGCAGAAGAGGTCTGCTTGCCTTAGCTTGCTTCTCACCCGGGGCTGAACGTGTTTGTGCAGGGCTCGGCCTCGGCCACATCCAGGGCATCGCTCTGTTACGGGAGCTCTAGGTGAGGACTCAGTGGTTTCTTTGAAGCTACTTATTACCTATTTCCCCCAAGTAAGTGCTAGCATCAGATCTTCCACATCTCTGCTTTCCCACCTCTCCTCGTGTCTTTTTCTGTTTTTCTGCTGTAGCAGTTGAACTGTGTCCCCCCTCACCCTAAGATACGTTTAAACCCTAACCCCTGGTCCTTGTGAACGTGACCTTATTTAGAAACTAGGTCTTTGCAGGTGTAATCAGGTTAAGATGAGTTCATGTAGGATTGGGGAGAGCCCTAAATCCAGTGGACTCATGTCTTTATAAAAAAGAAAAGGAGGGAAATTTTGATACAGAGACACGGACCCAGACAGAGAAGACGGGGGCAGAAACCGGCAGCGCCGAGCGGCTACAAGCCGAGGAACCACCGGGGCCACCAGAAGTTGGAAGAGGCAGGGAACGACTGTTCGCTAGAGCCTTTGGCGGGAACCCACTCCTGACAGGACCTTGATTTTGGACCTTTAACTCCCAGAACTGCAAAAGAACACATTTCTGTTGTTTTAAGCCACCCAGTTAGTTCACAGTAGCCCTAAGGAGCTAACACATCTGCTCTTTAGCCAGCGCGGAACAGCCTACGTGACGACGACAGCAGGTAATCACAGTGGTACTCACTGAGTCCTAGCTGTATGTCAGGGACTTTCCAGATGTAGTAACCCATGTGCTCTTCACCACACTATTATCACATGCGTTTCGAAAATGAGGAAAGTAAGGCTCAGAGAGTTAAATAACGCATCCGAGTCCCAGAGCCAGTCAGTGGAAGAGCGCAGACTCCAGCTGAGGCAGCCTGATTCCACAGCCTTTCTTTTCACCGTGATGCTGCACTGCCAATGCCACAGGGGTGGTGGGGATGAAGATGACAACGTCAAACACAATGGAACTTGATCCATCCGGAGCCGGATGGTGTCATTTCCCTGGGGCTTGACCTTTGAGTTATTTTTCTGGCAAAGGAGATAGGTTTCTGCTTACGGATCCAAATGGTCTCCCCAAATTTCCTTTGTGACCATTAGCATGAATGTGAAGGATGGTGAGTTGGGGTTAAGAGGGTAGCAAGCCTGTGACAGTCAATGAAACCAAGCTCACGGCTCACACGGGGACTGAACCAGCGACCTTGGCTTCATCGGCTTGGCAGTCTCCCTGGGTAGAGAACTTTTAATTGTGTTTTACTTCACAAAATGGCTTAAAAGAAATTTAACTCGAGCCTGGATGCCTCACGTCTCCCACAATATTTGAATTTTTCTTCCACATGCTCATGCGATGACACATTTAGCAATCTTCGTGGCTCTAACGTGATACCATTTTTGTGGTTCTTTTCTGCAAGCGGAATTAAAAACATCAGGTGGCGCTAAAATGGTGAACTGTCAGTAATTTCTGTGGGGCCTTAGTTTTTACTACGATACTTTAAGCTATTTCATCATAATTTAGCTATGGTGAGATACACAATTTATGTCTAGATGGAAGAAATTTAGGCCACATAAATACATACAATTGGAATGCACGTTTTCAAAGTACAGTTGGCCCTTGATGTCAGCGGAAGATTGGTTCCAGGACTCCTCTGGGGACCAAAATCTGAGGATGCTCATGCTCAAGTCCCTTATATAAAACGGCACAGTATTTGCATATAACCTATGCACATTTTCTGTAAACTTTAAATCATCTCTAGATTACTTTTAATTCCTACTATAATGTAGATGTGACGTAAATAGTTGTAAACACAATGTAAATGATATGTAAATTGTTGTAGGCACACAGCAAATTCAAGTTTTACTTTTTGGAAATTCCTGGAATATTTTCCCCTAATATTTTTGATTTGTGGTTGGTTGAATCGTGGGTACAGAACCCATAGATATGGAGGGATGACTGTAATATTAAAACTTCAGTGAGAGATGAGTTTAGAGTTTATATGCTTTAAATAATGAAATATCTGATATATTTTAGAGATAAGAAACCCGAGGACCAGAGATGTTAACTGGCTTTGCCTAAGGTGCACAGCTATCAAGAGGATTAGGTGGGCCTCTGATTTATTCGTTTCTAATATTAAGTTATTTCCACTATTTGCAATTTTATTGAACTGAGAAATCAGCAGGCATTTCACTCCATGCCACGCACTTATTTGCCTTTTGCATTTTCTTTAATTTTCGTGGTTGAGTTAAAAATTTTAAGGAAGTAGGATCTTGAACTTTCTTCAATGAAATACTAAAATATACTGTCTTCATTGCATCTGAAACCCAGTCTCTGTCAGAAAGTATATATATCTTTGACTACATGAGTTGGTATATATCTTGCTACTTCATGTTAAAAAAGAAAATATTCGTTTGCTTAAAATGTTTTGTTCATTCGCTTATTATGTTGTTTTTTAGATGGACTTAGGTGTTGGATATTGACATCAAATGGGACATTCCATTTAGTTAATAATAAAAGAGTACTTTTAAAAGAAAAATGCTTGGTCAGTTGACATCATAGAAGCAGGCAAAACTTAAGTTATCAATCAATATCTTCCTTAAAACTAACTGTGTTTCTTAGGTAAGTCTTTAAAAATGTACCATTTCAAATCCTGTATAAAAAAGCTTCTGAAATCTTCAAAGTGAACAAAAACTTATATTGAGTCTATACAGTAGCCAGTAAAATCAACTGTTTGAAGGTCAGTTTAGGAAAACTAGGCTGTTAGAATATTTGTTCCCTAAGTGATTAATTCGTTTGACACCATCCTCCAGCCCCTCCTTTCATTTACACACAGAAAATGGTAAATCTGTGTATTAGATGTGACTCTGGTATTTTTCCTTGTAAGAGATAATATATATTAAAATCTTATTTATGGAACAAGACTCATTTCAAGGTTCAGTTGTTATTACTCAAATGAAATAGAAAACTAGATTCTGTTAAATGATGAAGTTTTAAATCTGCTTGTTTATCGAGTAGGTAATTTTATAAATAAAACAGATAGTGACTAAAGCATTCAGTCTCATAACTTTCAGGTCACATATAATTTGGTTGCTCAGTGACACAAAAATCTACTTGCCCAATAGAGAAAGGATCCTTACTGAAACTTAAAAAGATGTTTCTTTTCTTAAAAATTATACTGCTCTCTTATGTTTGATATACTTGATATACTGTTACTTTATTCATTAAATTAATTTGTTCATTCATTCAAAAAATATTTATTAGCACTAAGAACATGCCAGATGCTAAACGTAGTGAATGTAAAGTCTGTCCTAGTGAAGTGTGTATATATATATATATATTTTTGTTTTACAGAAATATGTTTTTAAATAAGAACCTTTAAAATATTTATTTGTTTACTCCTTTCTTCTTTCCACACTTATCAGACAGAGCATCTCATATAACCTTATCTAGTTAGGAAGTCTTCACAGAGGAGATAACATTTGAGCTAAGAAATGATGACAAGTGATAATTTGGTCAGTGAAGACATTTGTCCAGTAAGAAGCATTATTCAGGGCAAAATGTCTGAAGGCTTGTATCCTGAAAGGGTCTGATGTGTTGTGGGAACCAGTAAAATTCTTCCACGCAGCTACAGAATGCCCCAGGTGATTTTCATCAGAATTAAAAATGTGTCAACTTTATTGATGTCCTCACAGAATTCATGTGTCAATATTGTCACCAATATAAATCATGCTTCTGAAAATGCAGGCCATTCAAGTGGCTCCTTCTACTAACTCTTCTCCTTATCCACCCCGCCCCAACACAGGCTTGACCACAGCGTTACACACCAGAG